AGAATGAACCAACTTGCAAACTTGCAGTCTAATGTCAGATAAAGGGGCAAACCATTCGTTGGTCTACTATCTTTGTTTCTGCATAGCATTCTTTAAAGAAGGTGGTTTGTAAACATCGTATTACAGTGGAATCCTGTCTAAACGAGAGGGAGAGTACCGGGGCAAAATGTCCGTTATACCAGGATTCTCGTTATAAGGGATCCAGTTATAAATTCAAGGGAAATAGTAAAGTAAGCCTTATCCATGAGTTTGGTGTTCTGTTTACTTCTTTTTGTAATCTCCCCTGATGATGATTTTATTCAACATGACCTTTAAGTCTTATTTGATCAAAAATCGAATCAGGTTTCTTTCTCTAGCACTAGCTATGTTGACAGCTCGGCGTTGGCGATCAGAAAGAAAGGGTTTTAGGCTAACTCACCTGCTGTGTTGTCCCCCACCCCACCACACCCTGTGGTGCATTCCGTCTGCTTGCGCACGTCACACATTCGCTCCATCCATCACAGCACTATGGCCTCTCTATCTCCGCATCGGAGAAGTGAGAGGCATGATAGGCCTAGATAATTTAGACTAGGCTGGCCTATCACGCAATGCGTCCTGTCTGTCTGTGCATACCACACCCTCCCCACTCATTCGCTCCGGCCTTCACTGTTGGCACACGTGTGCTTTCCCATTCTTTGTTCCGCTCAACGAGTTGTTGTAAGATCCTTGGTTTCGCTAAATCACCGACAAGTTTCTCAACTGGAGAGGTTTTATATAATACTAGCCTATGCGCTATGCACAGCAGCAGCAATATTCCGCTATAACCGACTCGTGCGTTTGTCTGATTGCGCTATAGCGGCATTTTATTTACAAAGATAAAGAAGGAAAAAAGCGGGGTTTTAGAAAAGTGTCTTTATAACAGACTTCTCGTTATTTCAGGACTCGTTATAAGTGGACTCCACTGTACTTAAATTCATAAATGAATAAATAAATGTAAACCCAAACAGAGTAAAGTTTTAAAACGGGACTCAGACTTGCCAACTTGTTCAAAACCCAGTCAGGTACAGAACACCCAATGTTTTTTACATCAGATTACTACATGACAAACAAAATTACATCAAAATGGGGCTGGTTTTGGTGCAGTGTATGTGAATGACCTCTCAAATTTTCAACTGCCAAATCTGGGACAATTCCAGGAAATTCTGGACAGATGGCAAGAAAATGATGATGAAAGACGGTACATGACTGGAGAACAGGGAAGGAGGTGGAAAAAGAAAATTTTAGAGAAGAACATTTTTCAGAGCCATCATCATTCAAACCCAAGACCTTTTGAATGGGAGGAAAACACCTTACCTCTAGACCATTAGTGAGAACCCCCTTGGGAAGTTTTTATTCACTAAACTTTGATACCGTACACGAATGACAAGTGATTGGTTGGAGGGTGCCATTAGTAGATCATATGTCTCTTTCTGTGTTGCTTCTATTTTGCTTTATCCCTGCACTAAATAGCCATTTCATTATCATTTCGATGTGCTTGTGGTTCTCTTTCCTCAAACTAAAATTTAATTAACCAAATTAGCCAAATAACAGACAAAGAAAACAAAAGTAGGAGCACAGACAAGTGACTGGTGATACCTTCCATCAAAGGCTCATCAGGCGTTAAAGATAGACTCGCTCAAAGAAAAACCAAACATAACTCAACTCCATGGCAAAGAATAGTAAAAAAAAAAAAAAGAAAGCAGGGATATTTTTTGTATAGACATTTTTAATTCCATGTACATCTGAGTATTATATTATAGACTGAACTTTAAAAAAGGAAAATAATCTTGAGAAATAGACAAAAAAACTTTCCGAAAAGGTTCAACAGTATGTAAAAGGTTCAGGTAAAGGCACATTAGCATCTTGAATAAAATTCAACAAGAACAGGCAAGTATGGCATTATAAAAATATAATCAATGCTGATCATAGTCCTGTATTGCAAGAACATTTCATACCCCGGTAGTGTACAACAGATTGTGGATATGATTTTTACACTCCTTTCAACACAGTATGGTTCTTAAAAGATGCAAGATCCCCTGGGGAAGGATGTCGGGGTGTTAACATCATAATTTATTAAGCCAACTGAGAATAGACAACATTTTGGAGAAATGCAGCAAAAAACATTTTTACATTTTTTTCTCTTCACTGGGGAAGAAAGGCAAAGAATTGATGTAAAAGTAAAAGTGGGGTGCAAACAAAAAAAACTAACTGTAACATGAATAGATTATAGATAAACCCCTTAAATAGCAAATTCATTTTTCCTCATATGTGTGTCGAGCAACATAGTTACGGTACATACCATCTCGATGTATTCACTGCATGTTCTGACCCTACTCACTCTTTTTTCTGAGAAAAAAAAAATCATGACCCACTTGGCAAACATTTTGAAGCAGCGAGATGCAAAGCCAGAGCAGCACCCAGTATACTTAACTTAATATATAATTCATCAGCAAATTGAGATACTACGTTAAAGAAAACGACATATGAACGAAAAAGATTGGTAATTACCATTATAATGCACCCTTCTAAAAAAACAAATCATTTAGGCCGCAGGTCGCTTTGTTTCTGACTGTCAGCACCAACCCAGGTATTTCCACACTTATGAATTTAACCCTTAAAACATACACACAAGATGTATGTATATCATGGTGAAATCAACCTCTCGTCACAATAATGATATGAAATCGAAGAAACCAGCAGCTTTTTTTCGCTCGTATGGCAATTTTTGTAAGATTTTTTGCTTTTTAGTTTAGCTCAACACCTGTTATGCCCATTTAAAAACACAATTTCTCTGTGGATTTTACTAAAGACATTGATTAAAGGCACACAAAAATGATAATTTGCAGTTTCTTAGGACTCTATAGCTTTGGAAGTCACCAAACTTTGCCAGCCACTTTCTCACTGATTTTAACTCTGAACCCAGGAGACGCCAATCTTCATCAATAATCTTGACTTCTATTCAAGATAGACATGGGTATTTTTTCACCAAAAGCAATTCAAATCACTCCCTCATAATCACAAAGTTCTATCTGACATTTTTGGCCGTTTTGAGTAATTAAGACCATTATGTCAGAAACCAAATGTTCAACTTGCTCTATCAAAATCGTAAGATTATTCAGAGTCATTATCAAGATATTCAAAGAAATTGCATTCGAAAAAGCTTGACATGATGTGAAACTCAAAATCATTAATGTCAAATCTAAAAACTAGGTACATGTACAGTGCAGATTGAACTTTGTAATCATTTTATGAGGTAGCAAAATGAACAAACTTTAACTCTTCTTATCCGGGCTACGAGTATACTCTTGAGTAAACTCGGACCAGCTAAACAGTCACCTCAAAGAAGCTAGTTCTGCTTGTATTTACCAAAATACGCCAATATGGCGATGCTAGCTCTGTCTGAATATAAAAAATTTTCAATGAACAGTGGTTTCTTCGTTTTTGATGGGTGTAGAAGCTTGAAAGATGTCTCAAAAACCCACGTTCACAACTGACGAAGAACTTTTTGAAGTGGTGCTGGGTTGTGAGGGGGTGACAGAATCAAGTGCCGTAAATTCCGTTGCGGATGATAACAGGACTTAGACTCATCTAATAGCGATCCAGATTATGGTGAAGGGGTCAGTACTGGAATTCGTGCTGTATCGATGGGAAGGGCTAGATCTAGATCTGCTATAAAAATCCAATGGGACCTCGTGTGGGCGGCAATCAGGGTCAAGTTGGAGGGTGGAATACACCTCAAAATCTACATTCTGCAATTGGGGTAATTCCTAACCCCATACATTTATAAAAACTACATTCAATTTCTAACATAGCTGCCAAATTTCCTTAAAACCTAAGAGCAAACATAAGAAATACAGCACCTTGAAATATACACCCTGAATTCCAACTCGTATGGTGCGGCAGAGTCAGTAGGGGTACGGCCAGGATAAAACGAGTGAAGGGGACACCAATAACTCCATGTGCCCAAAATTGACAAGCTACTGTTTCCACCGCGTCATGACACAAAATCTCCGGAGAAATAAATGTTTATACATCTTGCATAGCAAGTAAATATCATGTTAAACTAAAGATCATATATGCATACATGAAAAAATTGTGTTTACAACTTGAATACAGGTGAAGACTGAGTTATAAGAAAAAAATTACTAAATGAGTTATTAATAGTAGGCTACATGACATCAGTTTTTATATCATCTACAAAAATTCATAATCTCACCCTGACTTCATTGAAATATTCACTTTTCAAAAAATAGAAGAATCAAATGTCACTTATAGTCAGCAGTTTAGTACTAATAGTATAGTTATATTTTTGACAATACAAGCATAATACTCAACCTAAAAAAATTAATTTTTTGCTCCAAAGGATTACCCGAATTATGGAAGTGGGGGTCAAGCTCATTGGTCAATCCCCGACATGTTCAAGTTATCCATGCTGGACTGTGTACTGAAGCCTTTTTATGAACATGGAAAACCCGCCAATCTCTTTAAAAAGAATTGTTGAATTGTTCATTTGACAACAGAATTCAACCACACCTTTATAATGACATGTCACAAAGATGCGATAACACAACATGTCAACAGTTTTATGAAGAGGTTGACCATTATATCAAAAACAAATTAAAATCAAGTATTGCAATTTACAGTCCTTAATTCTTTCAGTGTCAATCCATGATATAACATCTAGAAGGTACCCAATCCTTCTTTCCACTTCTTCTTTTTGTGAAACTTTAATGCTACATAATGTATCATAACTTTTATTGAACATTTTTGTTGGAAACAAACATCACTCTCGAGTTTTAAAATAAAATAAGTCCAATAACTATGTGAGGAGAGGGAATGAGAGATATGTCCTGCCTCCTAGAACAGCCTGGGGGGATCTAGAGTAGGCGCTAAAATTGAAACTAAATGGCTACCAAATATCATCATCATTGTGATTTCATAAATTTTCATCAGCATTGCTTAGTCTACTTTGATACATCATCTTTTTTTTTTTAGTTTGGGGTTTTACGGCTCGCAACTGATACATCATCATCATCATCATCATCATCATCATCATTATCATCATCACAATTCTTGACACATATAGCAATTTTTCCTCGGAAGCAAAAATTATAGCAGCAGCAGCAATGAATTACAAGAGATTTTTTCAGCCATAACATTGTCCAACAATCTAAAGCTGTACATGTAACTAACATCTGGCACCATAAAATAGGACACAGGACAAAAAACAATTAAAACCCGTAACTGGCTTTTCCCTGCTCTACTTTTCACAAACGCGGAAAACCAACAAAGACAATCGTAGCAAAGAAAGAGTCGAGGTATCATTATTTTACTGACCTCTCAACATGCACCATATAGTAGCTTGAGATTGCGTGGAACTTGCATGAATAACAAAAACAGAGCAGCCACATTGAAAAAGAAGCATAAAGACCTGCCTGTGAACTTCCATAAAGCTCACAACCAAGAATGCACAACTTACACTTACAAGTAACATTTTTTCTTTCTCCTGTTTCACAATTAGACATGCCATCAGCAATTTTAAAAGAATGGGAAATTCTATACCCCATGCCTTCCATGATTATTAATAAAGACAAACTGTAAAAATGAGCAGTTTCAGTGACACAGCTATGAATTTGGATAATAAATCAGAGATTCATCACATGAGCTAAATAATTTCCTAAGAAGGGAATAATAATAACCAACTGCCTCTATATATGATAAATATTATGCAGGCACCTATGATAAGATTCAAAGGAAAAAAATATAATATGAAGTTTGAGCACAACCTTTCCCACATTCGACATTCTGAAGACATTTTGAGCTTTGGGAAACAACAGGAAGAGTTCACTGAGGCGTTGAGCAATAGCACCTGTGACCTGACATGCAATCACAAAGTGGCAGCAACCAACAACTTTTTTTCATTGAAAAGACAGGGAATGGATGAACACATGAGAATGTTTTTTTACAGCACTTGAAGGTTTTTGCATTCAAACATGATAAAAGAACAAAAATCATCTATGCTGTACTTGAGGTTTTTTTTAAAGCTACGTTTTTATCATTTACCACTTGTAGTACATTAGGTTCAACAACAGCTTATAAGGAAAGAAAAAAGGATTTCAAGATTGTTTTGAGTATGATAATGACAAAAAGGTAAACTTGACATTTGATAGCTTTTTGACTAAATCAGTTGTCATTGTAGGAGTATTCTCACGAGTAAAAATGTTGTGGATGACTTCCCAGACGAGGACACAGTAACACATTTACACAAGAGTCAACTGTTGATGACATGAAGCAGAGGTTGACAGTTACTCCTTGTTCCACTCTTTGTTGCGAAGTTCTACTCGTCGAATTTTCCCACTTATGGTTTTTGGCAACTCTGTGACAAATTCAATCTGGGGAAAATTCAAGTAAAAAGAAATCACATCAAGAAGTTGTGCCATATAAACTTTTAAGAAAAGTTGTCTGGTTTAATTTTAGAAGAGTTTTACTGTGTTTGCAACACATTTAGGTTGTAAAAGTGCAGAAGATTATACAGGTGTTAAAAGAGAGTAACAAACCCCAAAAAAGGAGGAGAGATAAGAACGATAGATGTTTGCTAGGGAAGTAGCAAACCACACCAGAGCACATGCCAACCACCCAAAATAGTAGTTGTCTAATTCTACAATCAGCATCAAGTATAGTATGGGATCATTCCATTTAGCAAGGATGGCGAAAAGAGTGGAGTGATAGAACATTGCAAGTGAAAACAACAACAGCCACACTTTATCAGTTTAGTTAAGTGTAGTTTGAGAAAGAGAGTGCTGAGGAATGCAATATAGAAGGATAGAAAAAACAAAGTGGAAAGAAAAGAAGCAGGCTCTACCAGTAGCACTCTCCACCTACCTGCACAGATTGCCAAAACAAAGAACATATACTTGTGTTTGAAAGCTTCTGACGTGAAACAAATTAGCACTCAATGTTTTGGGCATTACATCCATTACCAAGAGACATACAAGATGGAGTTGAAACACATCTTTCAATAACAGAGAAGGACAACAGTAACAACTGATTAGATGTTGTCTCCAACAAAGAGGAGAAGAGGAGGTATCCACAGCCCAAAATAAAAGTGTCATACAAAAAACACTAACATTCTGACACTAAGTATGCATAAAAATATTCTCAAAAACAAAGCAGTAGCTGTTGCCAGCAATGATTGGAATGTAGAACTTATTCTTCCCAATAAGCAGCTTTCAGTCGAGTGGCAAAGGCTTGAGAAATTCCGATGGGTTTATTTATTCAAGGAAAATATCAGTCTCCCAAAATATGAAATTCACACAGCCAAATTTATAAACATGGAATGCCTCATCAAATTAGGAAAAGACCATTGTTATTGGTCATCAAGTTCACCAATTTTTTTTCATATTAAGTTACAGTGGGTGTCGCATTCAACGAGGTCACATTCAACGAGAAGTCGGCTCTAAAGAGGCAATCTTTAATCCCTGATTTTTCCCTCTATATCTCTTTGTAAATGTACGTTAGCTCCAACAAGGTTGCAAACAGACCGAAGTCGCTTTCAACGAGGTTACGATAACCAAATAAAAGCAGTTAGCGGTCCCAAAATCAAAGAATTTTTGTACTTTCTCTCCATCTCACGCGAAGCACAAGGCCCATCCTCCATTCCTAACGCATTGTATTGCTATCTAGTGAGCCTCCTAATACTAATATGGGTCCCAAAGCCAGGAGGATGGGCGAGGGTTGGCCTACGGTAGGGATGGGAGGGAACGCGACGTGGGCTGTGTGAAACTGGATGAACTCTGGATGGGTAAGTCTAGATCGAGACCTTAATTTTTTTCAATTTTCTTTTCTTCCCTGATCAGAAAATCCAAGCTCCCGCCTTTACTTTATGTAGATCTAGGTCCAGATGTGAGAGGGTACATTTCCACAAGAGAAGTGTTCGAAAAAAAAATATTTTAAAATACAGAAAGGACGGTCAGAACACAGCTCCAACTCCGCACACTGATGCTTTTTTGGGGTTTTCGTCATCAGGGGGAACAGCTGTTTTAATTACTGGTATTGGTACATCGTGTAATATAATAACTTTATAGTCATGTTCAAAGAGAGGTCGGATCCAACAAGGACAACAAGCCGGTCCCGGCAACCTCGTTGAATGCGACTCCCACTGTATAAGGGATCACATCAATACATTTAAAAGTGGGTTCTTCGTCCTGATGGTTCGGCTACGGCATCCCATTTACCTAAGATCCCATATTTTTGTTACTCCGAAGCACATGGATCTTAGGCAAAGACCACTGTATCTCCATCTTAAGCCTGAAATCAGCCATACGGAACAGTCATCTTCATTAACTTCCATAATTCAACTAAGATCAAAGCCTTTCATCAATGTAAATTGCAAAGCCAGTAGAGGCTTTTATTTAAGCAAAACATGCACTAGTTAATTGATTGCCATTCATTCTTTTTCATCATTATAGTATATCCATATATTCAAACACTTACCCTTCTTGGATACTTGTAAGGGGCGGTAACTGTTTTAACATGGTTCTTCAACTCTAGGTCCAGGGTCTCTGGGTCTGTATTCCGATAATCTGGGCTCAGAATCACAAACGCTTTGACCACCTGCAATTCAAACAAGAAAATGCATAGGTTAACCACACACAGTAGAAACTGTCTTGAACGGTCACCCTTTGGAGAAAAGAGCCCCCGAGTTCGATTCCCAAATACGAAGAATTTTTATCAAGTATCTCAGTCTTTTTGGGGAGATGTTGTTTCTCTCTCAGCCTGGGTTGGCCTGACAGGCAGGGTCTAAGCCCACCTCCTAAATGATCCAAACTGTGTAGATGGGGTTGTAAAATCAACTACGATTAATTAAATAAACTTTGAAAAGGAGTGAATCATCATTTTGCATACAGTCTTAGACTGTACTTAAGAGAATTTGAACTTCAACCACACAAAGCATACTAGTCTTACAGTTAGCTTTCAGACGACTATTCTGTCCAATATACAGCACTTTAAGTTTGAATGAAAGAGAAGCCTATAGGCACAGCAACAGTCATGGAATGCTAGGAAAAAAGTAAGAGAGACAGGCAGAAAAGCAGATGGATGTCATAAAAATAAGACCTATGACTGAACCCTCCAACCAACCCAGAGTTGAAAAATTAATCTTTTTACTCCAGAAAAATCAACAAATCAATATTAGCGCAGGTCCTAAATCTCATGCTTCAAACATTTCCCTCCCATTTATGAAATTATGTCAGATACAAGAGTAGAAAACATCAGCTTTTACAAATGTCTTCCTTCAAACATTACAATAAGACATTAAATCCCCTGAACATCATCCCTTTTCGTTTGATCCTACTGTTAAGTGTTGAGAGGAGACATGCCCAGACCTTTTTCCTTTTATGATCAGATACCCATTTTAAATAATGTGAAGGTAAGATTATACCAGAACAGGGACCTCCAAATATATAGTCCATCTGCAGTAGGACCAAGCCAAGTGAGAAGAGAGCCTATAAAACTCCCTCAACCACTCCCCACAGGAGATTCAAATAAGGGTCATCTGCACAGTGGCCCAGAACCAGAATGATACCAACTGAATCTGCCCCAGAAACATCCATGTCCAAGTTGAAAAGGTACAAAGATATGCAATAATCATCTTATGAGAGTTTTTTTTTTTAAAGCACCAAGCTCGGTTGGGCTTGTGTTGTCAGTGTTAGGTACTCAAAGAACAACAATAACAAAAGTCGCATTTTATCCAAAGCTGACAAGGGAAGAGTAATACTGAAAAGAAGTGTATGAATACTAGATGCGACTCGTTGACTCATGCTGGTTCATGAACCGCCTTTTACTTTTAGTTTTAGTAGGACTTTAACGGCACTTGTAACACAATTAAGTCATATAAGTGCCGAAAATGAGAGGTGTTACTAGAGAGTAACATCAAAGAAAAGAAGGAAGTGATATAAAGACGATAGATGTTTGATAGGAAAGAAGGAGCAACCTACACCAGAGTATCCGCAAACCACCAACAAAAAGCCATTACCTCTCCTCTGATGTCATCTGGGCTGCTCACAACAGCAGATTCCAACACTGCAGGATGTTCCAGGAGAGCACTCTCCACTTCAAATGGGCCAATGCGATATCTAAGATGATAGAAATTATCATCCAGTTGTTATTCATAGCAAGTTAGCAAGACAACGGATACAACTTCGGAAGTAGATTAGGACAAAGCCAAAACTGAAAAAAACCCACAACTTAAGAAATCAAATTTTACAACACAAAACTCATCCTACGATCCCACTCTGAGGTCTAAATGCAAGCTACATGAAAGATTTAAAAAGAAATGTCCTCCTTCCAAAAGATTCAAGGGGTAAATTTTGAGCATGACCCAGTTTCACTTGATATCTTTTGGGGCAATGTTTCTCTTTAAGAAAACTTTAAATTCCCTTCTTTTTATAAACGTTTAGAACCTTTATTTTATAAGACGATATTATGCTATAAATATATTGTTTAACCTTTTATATAAGTTTTTCAGACAAATTTTCAACTCCCAACACACTTGACATGAGACACTCGTTCCAAGAGCAACCTCTAAACGTTGGTGTTTTTATTGCATTTTTTAAAAATGGTATTGAAGTTCCTAATAAATTGATCAAAATCATATATTTACGCAAATGAGAAAATACTTAAATTTGATACAGAAGCCAGATTCTAATTCACAACAATTGTTTTATGATAAATTCTTTTCTTAACCCCTTTGTTGCCTTATGAAGTAGCAGGTACATCATGAAAAAGCACGATTTTTAGGTTTGTGCTTTATCATGGACTTCAAAGCGGTTGGCAAAATTTATCGCTCCAGGTTGCCTTTAGGACATTACATGTAAGTCACGCTAATGACCTGGCTCTAATTCTTCTGTAGGACGTTCTAGCAACAAACACAGCATGGATTCGTATTCAGGAATAAACAATGTGCATTTCGGAACAAAATTTGCTAGTATTAGTTTACTGCTTTGCTTGCAAACGTATACAATATACAATTCACATACCTGTAAATGGCCAATCAAAAAATTGTCTGAACTCATCGACGCGAATATCATAAAACGCAAAAACTGCCAAAAGACACAATGTGCGAATAGTTGATAAAAGCAACACATATAGATCTATACAGTGACACAAACTGGTAATAACAGTAATATAAGAAAAAAAATGCCTGAAAATAAAAATGAAATGAAATTAACTCACCCAAAATAAACTACTTTATACAGTAATGATGGGGGGGGGTTGTGGGGCTTGCTTTCAATTGCCTTTAAATCGCTGTTGCGATCCACAAAAGCAAGGCCTGCCATACTGGACATGGAGATCTAGAATCTATCTACATCTAGATCTAGCCAAAATACGGTAACCTATGGATAACACACTCACAATAATATAATAGAACACAATCCTAATAGAAAATCAAATGTATCAAAGTTAAAATTCCACAAAAATCATAAATCAACTCAAGAGGCCATCCTATTCGAACGAACAATGGAGAGAGAATGAGAAAGAAATTCAAGAATCAGATTTCAAATCGCCGAAGATTCGCCCTCGGCCCGTACTCCGTACAGTACGCAAGAATTATCTTTCGCATTATTCTCCACAACAATTGAATTCAAAAAGTTCCGCCAAACATTTTGGCAAATACAAATAAATATAAGGGTCGGAAAAAGAGTGTCTGAATGGAGCTAACAAGAGCCATCAGCGATGGTTTTCTATCAAAATTTCTGAGCGGCGTTTGGTTCCCTTGAAAAGGGGAGATTTTACGATTGGCGGATTTCCGTCTATTGGCGGAAGATTTACAGGTATGAATTCAGGCCAATACAATATACAATTCTAGGCTATGCTGATATCGAAGGGTATTTTTATACTAAAAGAGTTACACTACAAGTTTGACATGATTCTGTCAGTTCTTCATTTAATCCTTAAAATTGTGGTTTATCACCGTAAAACAAGATCTCCTATAATAAGTAATGCCTACTTCAACTATAGGAGCAGCCAAAGCCCAGGAAGCAATCCAAATAGGTTCGGACAAGAAGTGACCTTAACAAAATCACTCATCACACATGTAAAAAACTATTTTAAAAAACTAAAGCAGACTATAATCTCAAAATATCAGTAAAGGAACAGATAGAAACAAAATACCCTGATGAAATTATGACATCGTCTGCTCGCCCTACAAAGTAGACATAGTCTTCTTCATCCATGTAGCATCGATCACCAAGCAGGTAGTAATCTCCCCTGAAAACAGCAGCTGTGCGTTCTGGTTCATTCTGTAGAGTACATGCATTCACATTTCATGAGCATGTCATTGACGGAATAACTTTCTCTAATTCATTCATATTATATTATGTTTAGTTGGAGTTTTGTTTTAGTAAGAGTTCTATGACACTTGCAACACAGATCACACAAGTGCCAAGGATAAGAGGTATAACTAGAAAGTGTCGTACAAAGAAAAGAAGGAGGAGAGATAAGGACGATAGATGTTTGATAGCAAAGAAGGAGTGAACAACACCAAAGCACCCACCAAGCATTCATAAGTTTGTTGTTTACTGGCTTGTCAGAGACAATGAGCACATTGCTGCGTAATTGTTCATATCAGATCAACACAATGAAGGTGACTCAGTCAGAGACAAACCAGAAATACCAACGAATGAAGAAAAATAGCAGGTGCAGACTACACCACAGCACCCAGAGACCATCCATTGAAAAAATTAAGAGACGACCAATGTTTAAACCATCTCACCAGCAAAGCTATGCCAGGTCAGCTACGAACAAAGGAAAATAGACATGCAAAATATCATGGCCATACCAACAATTGGCTTTTCCTCATCACAGAAATGTCCTCAAACTCTCCATTGGGAATATCATCAGCACAAAACTTCCTCCTTCATTAGAATTTTTATTTAGGCTTTAACTGACTCCATCATTTCAATAAACTATTGCCTTCCTACAAAGACAATACTTTGACAGTTTAGATACACCACTGCCTCCCAATAAAGACTTAAAATTTCCTCCATTTCCCCAAAATAATGAGATTTCTGAAATTAAATAGAATCACACAAAGTAGACCTTTAGACAGATTCCAGAGAGAAAACAAACTTTAACAGAGGCTCAGTTTATTCAAAATCTAAAGAACAAAACTATACATTCATTGAACAAGTAAAATTATAGAAATAAGATGGCAGCGACTTCACGGTGAAACAGCAACAGTCCTTGACCCTATAGGGTCTACAGGAGAAGCAACAATCAACACCTCTAGGTAGGAATTGGTTCACAAAAACTTAAGACAAGCCATTAATAATAGGCTAGCAAACCAAAGTGGAAGTCATCAGAAAATTTGAGGAGACTACAACAATCTGTTTCTACCTGCACTATGACTAATCCATTTCATGAATTTTAGTTCTATATCGAAGAGAAGCACATTATCATAAAAATAGATGGTAAGAGCAAGGAAAAGGTAAGATAGAACAACAGAGGGGAAAAAAAAAAGGACCTACAAGAGACTTCCTCCAATCACCAGCAGTTTATATAAGATTAGGAGAGAACAGTAGTGACACCAAAGAGAATTAAGACAGAACAGACCTCATTGGTGTTTATGAACTGCCCATGAGGCGAAATGTATGACAGACAAAATAACAGTCCTGGTGATAAGATCAAAAGTAAACAACCCCTTATAAAAGGATCAAAGGTAGGTAGCAAGACAATGACCAGTGAACTAAAATACAGACCAAAGCTTAATACTGACCAAGTAGTGAGTGAAGAGTCCAACAGGTCGATGAGGCTTCACCTTCACAGCCAGGTTACCCTCTGTTCCGCGTTCCAGAACGTTCCCATCATCATCCACAACAGCCAGGTCAATGCCTGGTGAGGCTTTGCCCATTGAGCCTGGTTTGTAATCAATGCATGCATAGCGAGCACATATCAGGGTCTGCAGGAGAAAAAAATCATCAACAAACTTGTGACCGTGAAGTGAAAGACACTACTCTGCCGTAAGCTGACAAAACGCCTTTTTTTCATTCAGTTGTTTCGAGATAGAGGCGTTTTGTCAGCGTAACCATTTAAAGGAGTTTTTCCTAAATTTGATTACCAATTTATTACAAAACTAGTCACAGATTCACTTTGATTTTTACACACAAGTAGGGTCACTGATGAGGTTTTCGATTTAACGAATAGAAAAATTTGGCGTCAAAATGCAAAAACAGGCATTTTATCAGCTTACAGCAGTACTGTCCCTGTATTGATAGTTGTTTACAATAGTGCAAATGTGAGGAAAAAGACCTACTTGAAACTTTTACAACAGAATGCATGAGGTACACTTTATAACAGTAAAGAAAGAAAAGTATTCGTTTTCATGGGTAAATCTTTACTACAGCCATCATGCAGAGCAACTAATAAAGGAACAGATAACACCACTCATTCACTGCCCAGGGGATATCTTTTAAAATATTGATAATTCACTTTTCTATAACAATGAAGTCTTTTATTTTATTCATTTCCATTCTTAAAATGAAATATATCAATTTCAATACATAGAAGCACATTTCTCATGCACCATATGTAAACTGCATACAAAACGAGTATCAGCTTAAAAAGCACAAGTACTTTCACTGCTTCCTCTTTTCATCTTTCATATTGATGACAATTTTTCCATGGACAAAATGCTAGTCCTGGGACAGCCATGTTAAATGATTATGAATTACAATGTACTCTTCAAAGAGTTGTCACTCCTTCATTTATCTTTAGCTTTTGATGTGGCACTGGCATGGGAAAGGGACTTCACACTTACACAAATTTTCCTCACTTCACCCAGGTGGGAATGGGTACCTGGATATAGACTGCGAAAGATATTGTCAGTTTGTCAGTGTTTGAAAGCGTAAAATCCACAGCTTGCACTGTATGCTTCGTGGAAAGCTGAGAATGTTTCTGAGTGTTCTAGCGTCTGTTTGGGTAATAATGGCTGTAAAGCGCATAGAGCATGCAGCAGAGTATGGAAATGTGCTATATAAATGCAATAATTATTATAGAAGTATTCTTGAAAATTTTAAGCACTTTTATAAAACAATAGTTTTATCTTGATGTGCAAAGAAATTATTGTGTGACAAGAAACCATCCTTTAGTTGCATGACTATCACAAGCAGCTTCGACGCTTGGATTCTGACAGCCAGACCCAATCTCACACTGCCATATTTTTTCAAGTGGTTGTACTTGCAAAACTAAACAAACAACCATTTTGTAGGAAAACTGAATTTTCAACCAGAGCTACCCATTGCTGCATTTCCATATTTTATGAATCACACGTAGAGCTGAGTGGTTTACATTTGTGTCTGACGTGAGTCTTCACCAAGGCAGGACCAGTAATCCAACAAGTATACTCATAGCCCCGAAAAAGACTCCAAAGCAAAACTTGGTATTTTACAGAGTATGACAATGCAAATGTGTAAAATCTGAGTAGAAAAGGTGTCTGAAGGTTCTTTACCCCATCCCTAAACTGAGAGCACACCTGAGAATGCACTACCTTTGCCATTTTCAGCATGGAACCTGAGTCTCCATGTAAGGTGTAAGAAGTCTAGAATTCAAACCATGGGAGCTCTGGTGCTCAGATCCTGCAAGCTAAGGGGCCCAGGGCTTAAATATTAAACTGCTTTCTCTCAGTCATGTGCCATGGGAAGGTGATGCACACAAAAACCATGTTTCACTGTGAACACAGTACCTCAACACACATTGTGCAAAAAATTATGTTATGAAGGCCAGGCAGTTTATGAGGAAAAGAATAGGAGAGTAACGGACCGAAAAAGTATCTTTTCTACTGTATACTTTGACTATCGAATGCAAGACCGTCCTTGGCTCCTCCTCACAAAACATAACTCACAACAGACAATGGTGGTCCTGATGGTCCATTTGGGTACCTTCAAGCCAGGTTTTATAGCACTAGACTTATTGTACTCTCCATTTGTCATAAAACATTGTTCCCTTTTCATATCTGAAACAGCAATGGGTACTTACGGTTTCGGTCTGGCCATATCCTTCATGAATGTCCAGCCCTGTGCCTTTTTTCCACAGCTCTATCATCTCTGGGTTCTAACAATACACAAAAGACAACCTTTCGCATATTGGCTCAAGTTAAGAAGGAGAACAGGCCGTTGTTTAACCTCTGCACTAAAACATAAACAGGAAATTTCTAAAAGGCTAACAAAGTACACTCTTTATACTATCTGTTTTTTACAGGACCAGATCCTTGGCTGAGAGATCAGCACAAAAAAGATTTAAATAGAAAACAAACATAGTGAGCATGGAGACATGATGCCTTCCTTGCATCAGAAATGCCATGGTATAGAGAGAGAGCCAAAAAAAAGGCATTGTCCCTCCTATAACTGGGGGTTGGGGGAGGTGTTGGGTGCAGGCCATAATCTCTGCATCATGCAAGACTGTAGTGCTGGCCGCTCCATTTGAGATCCCAAAAAGAGACATTCTTGAACTTGAGTTGTACGAGCAGTCTACCAGCATGGCTCTGTCCTATCAGAAATGGACATTAAATTAGGTGGTCCTGTCTCTTGAATAAGCTTATAATGCATGAAAGGGCCATCAGGCTCATACCATAGCCCACAAAAATCTCTTGGATCATTTTATAATGCATGAAAGGGCCATTAGACTATTATCCCATTTCAAAAACTGGCACATGTCCGGTGAGAAAAATTAAAAGAAGAACAACACAATAATGGCCATTAAGTACAGGAGAAGAGCAAGACTAATAAACAGACAGAAACAACAGAGGAAGAGAAAAGAAGTAGGATCTACCAGTGTGCCTTAAAAACCACTTGCAGGGTTATGAGCAACACGTAAATTGGTCGCTTTTAAGCACAAGGAGGCTATCCCAAAAAAATGCTGTTTTGAGAAAATCGAAGGTAAAGTTTTTGCCCCTTGTTCAGTTTCTCTAAATGACCAGGAGAGTTTTCTCTAAAACCAAACAAATATACACACCAATGAATCCAAACTTCTCCTATAGGAAGGGCAATGCCCACTTTTGGTGTAGGTCAAGATTTCTGGAAACCCCCGAAATCTGGGTTAGCCGCCTTGTTCTTAGAACTAAGTGTATGTCACCAATAAACACATTCATCTACCACTTAAAGGAATGGGAAAAAAACATTGGTCGCAACTTCTTCAAAATAAACTCACAACAATACCAAAGATAAAATCGAACAATGCTTTAAGAAAAAGTATGACTTTCATAGTACCATAACATTTAGTCAAATATTTCAGAAGAAAGGTGTTGAACAAAAAGGGCATTGCTTTTATGAGTAGCTTTTGAAATCTGACATAAAAATACAAATCATGAACCTTTCTTACTGTAGATTAAATTTGAAGAGTTTCAATCTCAAGCACTACTTTTCATTTCAGTCAATATTTTTTTGTGGACCGATTCACAAAAGTCAAAACAGGTAAAGCTCATTCATTTAGTACAATGTTACATTGTTACCATTCTAGATGATCACATAGTGAGTAAAAGAAATATTTTTCATAATTTAAAAGTACTGTAAAAAAACAGATTTTTGAAAAGTATTTGAGACTCAAATATTGAAAAGCTGAATCTATATAATCAGAGAAACACATTGGTGATGGCACTCAACAGAACAAAAACCTTTAGAAATTGGTAAACTCGTTTTACTACCTCATCGGAAGGAGGAGCAAGATCGAAAAACCTGATGGAGGGTAAAAAAAGACAAAAACATTCTGAGACAGAAAGAGAAGAGTACATAAAAAGAATAAATGTGATCAGACCAAAAATATCCAAACCCCAAAGGTTAATCAAGGACAGCTTCATGCAAATGTAGATGTAAAGAGATATTTCCAGCCACATGCTCTTACATTTTAATACAACTAAAGAGCTTACTACATCATAGCAATTATTAGATTAGTTAGACACGTAAGAGTGTACAAAGATATGAAGTTAAAAGTATTGGGGTTAAAGTGAAAGACACCCACAGAAAAGAAAGTATTCTTCCAGTAAAGGTTTAGTGCTAATACGGGGTGTGCCCATTGGGGGACTGGGTCGGGGCGGGGCGGCTTGCTGGTCAGATTGACGGCGCAAAACAGCTACGGGCGACTCGATCCCATCCACACTAGGCACCCCGTATAAGAGAACAAATCATACAGTCAAACTAACCAAAGTCAAATAGGTCAATGTACTGATTCCTCAAACCAAGATCTCAATCTCTGTCTTTTCTCCTGTTTTTTTTATCTACATTTCAAGAGGAGCTCAAACAGATTTACCAAAGACTCAAACACGTTTAGTATTCCTCTGAAAAAACAAAGAAAACACTGCCTAGAAAGGAATATCCACTAAAACTATCAAAGTCCATGCATTATCTACATTCCAGTAAAATTAACGTTGTAAAAAAAGGGATAAAATTAAAATCATGAATAAAAGGTGCACTGGTGCTAAAGTTATGAAAAAAATAGATTTTAAAAACACCCAAAATGATAAGGAATCAAGATATTAAAGAAAATTTCCAAAACAGAGAAAAGTGACTCAAAAATATACACAGAAAAAGACAACTTTCGAAACTTAAGTTCAAAACTCTACATCACAATGCAGTGATAGAAAAAAGTTACAAGTTGAATTATGCAATACGGCTAAATTAGTTCCATTATGATACCTACTGCTCACATTAATTTATCCCTTTTGCATCATACAGATCAATATAGAATGATTCCTTCTTTTCTATTTTTCTTTTTTGGTTGCCCTTGTTCTTTTTCTTTTATCTTTTTCGTCTACCAAAAAAAACAAAACTGGATTCCAACTAAGGCCTTTGCACACTTCTCCACTTTGAAATACTGGCAAAAATCAAACTACAAAAGCCAGTAGGCCTATAGTGCCGTCAAAAATTTGAGGTGTAACTTATCCTCAAATATCTCTTTAACAGGTGAATCAATGTCATCCATACTTTGCATAGCAATTTGTATCAATCTGTCTTAATTAAATCATATTTTTCTAGAACTATTGGGGTTAGATTAAAAATCTTTTCTTCATAAATTTATATAAAATACTTGAAATCTCTGTCACACGTAAAATGGTATTGTTCACAGCACTTCCCACTTCTCACACACATTTTGATTACGCATATGGCCTACGTCACAGCTCATCAATGACAATTTTTACTTGCACAACTTGTTATGAGCCACGGCATTTTGAGAAGCATTCAAACGAGGCGAGTCACCTTTGTCTTCCATCTCTTTGTTTAAATTCTTCTGGATTGTGGGGACGAAGCCGTTTAACCTCCAAATTTCTCTAATGAATTTTCAGCCAAAGAAAAAGTTGTCTCAAAAGTGGTTTGATGTAATTAATTGCTGTTAAATCTCAGCGGCACACACACAAACATGCACACAAAGCACTCCAAACATCATTTATTAGCTGGATTAGGCCGTGTAGTCGTGGAAAGTACAGAGCACAACAAAGGTCCAATGTCCCTGGGGGAAAGTGTGTCGTAAACTTTCACCCCATTGTCAGGGCTAGGAGAGCATGAGCCCTCCGTGCAGTGTTATTTTTTTCAAGTCTTCTACCTTTTTACAAGAGGGGTTTCATTACGAAGGGAGCGTGGGAACGGGCTTACCTTTTCTGATCCCTAACAACATTTGATTGGCTGTTAGGTTATTATAATTCTAAGCGGTGACAACAGTGATTGGATAAACAAGCAAGCCGCCAAGTTGATTACTCAGTGTTCATTGCCTGCGATCATAACAGTTTCAACAGATTATTTCATTATTTTCATTTACATTGGGATAGAGTTGGGGGGTGGGGGGTGGGGAGGGGGGGCTCAAGCCCATGAGCCTTTCACCACCCACCGCCACTGGTGTTACAAGAGAGAAACATACACAAAAAAGAAGGATGAGAAATAAGGACGATAAATGTTTGATACGAAAGAAGGAGCAAACCACACCAGAGCACTCGCCAACCACCCACAGTGATGTCATGGCGGGCATATGAAGACAGAGACTAGGACAGTCAATGACTAGGATAACCGCCCAGTAAGGACACTGCTCTTATAGAAAGCAATGGCAAACTACAACAAGTGCTTCTGTCAACAAGCTCTCGACACAACTGAGAAAAACACAGAATCCAACATGGGACCCGCTGATGATTCTGAAACCACTGTAGTCTGTGAAGAGTGGTATAAGGTATGTTAGTTAGTAGAGCATTGTTGATATTAGTAAAGCAATGTCGATTTCAATGCCAAGGCAGGAAAAAACAAACATTGAAGAATAAGAAACAGTAGGTAACTTTGGGTTAAGAAAAAGAAATCAAAGAGGAAGTACACTTATTGACTTAGCAAATCACCTGCTATCGATACTGAACAGCAAGTTTCAAAAGTACCCAAAAAGATTGTATTTATGGACATCTTCAGATTTTTAAAAAAAACCAAACCAAACTGACAGCATAATGACGGAAAAGAGGTGGAACTCTGTAATACAAGATGTTACAACCGAACGAAAAGCTGACTGTGACACAGATCTTTAACTCCTGGAAGGAATACTAAAGCCAAGATTGAAAAGTAAGAAAATGTTATGATGTAGAAGACAAAGAAGAGAATTATAAAGATGAAGTCAAAAATTGTTTCCAAATACTGCTCATGGACATTGAAGTAAAAAGAACCAAGTGAAACTGCAAACAAGGCACAAAAGATTTTCATAGCATCAAAACACCTGAAGAAAATACACAAAAGAAGACAGCCTCGAGTGACTGATGAAGCGCAGAGGAGAAAAGAAAACATACCTGACTTTTAAAATGTTAGAGAATAGAAGAAAAAAAAAACATGAAAGAAAACTAGAGCAGAGAAATGTACAAAGAATTAAACAAACTTGCCAAATCATTCCAAAATTGACTAGGAGTAATAAAAGACAAAAACAGGAAAAATTTTGACAAAGTCCAAGAAAACTAAAAGGAGATGGAATAGACGCTGAGAAAGAATGTACTAATAAGTAAGTGTAAGGGTTTAGTGCCCTTTCAACACAGACTACTTATTATCAAAACTCAAAAAGATGACATATGTCTGGAAAGGCCAATGCAAAGATACAAAAATAAGAATTCTGAGGTGAAGCATGGACCATCAACGAACAAGATACAAAAAAGATTACATCTTTTGAAATGAAATGTATAAAAAGAACTCTTAGAATGTTGCGGAGACAGAAAAGATGGAATGAAGAAGTACAAAAGAGAATAGACATAGATGTATTGAATGACACAGTCAGCATTCCAAATTACAAGAAAAAAACTCACTCACTTTCACCTGTCAAATTATTTAGCAGAATATATCTAGCTAAAAAAAATATCTCTACCATGGGAATTTTATGTTCATTTCTCTTCTATTTGCTATTGCTTTGCTATATCTAGCACTAATAGTAAGCGAGCTATTGCCCTTCAAAGAAATGAGTCATGTCAGGCATGGCCCCTGGAGAATTTGTCCCAGCACACAGGCACGACTTATGGTTAGCAGGCAATAAGCTAATTATTCTGTGAGATGCATAAACTTACAGACGGTTCACCAGCAGCAAAGCAATATTTCAGAGCTGGGTAGCGGTGCGCAAATTGAGACTGAGTCACTAACAGTCTGTATCCTGAAGGAGCGCTACAAAAGTGCGTAACTGGGTATGAAGCCAGCACCTGGGAATATAAAAGAAAACGTGCTGTTAAAAAAAGATAAAGCCGCTACAAGGCCATACTCACGACAGGTTCTCCTCCACATATCGCATGTTTCAAACTCTTTAACATGCCCGGTTCTAAGTGACCCTTCACCAAGTGTCGGTACGCAGTGGGCGGAGCACATAATATCTCCACAGGATAGTCTTTCAGAACCTGGGTGAAGAGGTCAAGTTAGTGCATAATGTTGACACCACTGAGCTGAACACCATTTTGTCAAAGGAACTGAATTGCACTGGTAAATAACTTTTCTTTTTCTTTTCCTCGGGGAGGGAGGTGGGAGGAGTACACCATGATGTAAGTTGTACAAGTATAGAGATCACTGCTGGTTAGAACACAGTCCTCAAATTTGTTGTACAAGTATAGAGATCACTGCTGGTTAGAACACAGTCCTCAAATTTGTTGTACAAGTATAGAGATCACTGCTGGTTAGAACACAGTCCTCAAATTTGTTGTACAAGTATAGAGATCACTGCTGGTTAGAACACAGTCCTCAAATTTGTTGTACAAGTATAGAGATCACTGCTGGTTAGAACACAGTCCTCAAATTTGTTGTACAAGTATAGAGATCACTGCTGGTTAGAACACAGTCCTCAAATTTGTTGTACAAGTATAGAGATCACTGCTGGTTAGAACACAGTCCTCAAATTTGTTGTACAAGTATAGAGATCACTGCTGGTTAGAACACAGTCCTCAAATTTGTTGTACAAGTATAGAGATCACTGCTGGTTAGAACACAGTCCTCAAATTTTTTGTAAGTTATGAACACCTTGATGATTCTATTTGAAAAAAATTCCCATTTTCTTGAACTTTGAACTGGCAATAAGTCCATAATGTTCTCACTTAGTAACTGGAACTCCCAGATTGTTTCTCCTTACTTAACTCTTTTCCTACCAGGCCAAAATCCACCACTGGCCAAGGGCTTTTCCTTGACCTACCCAACCAAAGGAAAATGTCAAAACATCCAACTAAACACACACAAACCATATCATACGGCCCATCAAACTGAAGATAAAAAAAATAATCTATCAGATGGTGATACAATATAGAAGATTTACTCCAATTATATTAGTTTGGGGGTTCTAAACGTGATTATGCAATATCGAAGATGCCATATGAAATCCACAATTTTCCAGCTTTGAGAGGTCATATCTAAAAAAGTACAACAGCATCATTCAAACTTCCCTGGTAGGTTGCCTCAAGTAATGCAAAGAAATACTGAAAGTTATGTATGTGTACCTAATACAGAAGTGAAAATATGAGACATATACTGAAGTCAGGGGAGCGCTTTTTAAAATCTTTTTTTACGTTTCGAAGGGGACAAAAAAAGCGCTGAAATGACTAAAAATCGTCTCTCAGTGCTACATTTTCTTTCTTATGTGCTAACAGGAAGTCTTTTCTATTATTTTGGGAACGTGGATCAGCCAAGAATTTCGTGTCTTCTCATTACTGGATTGGAATAGATAGGGAGCCACTCGAGTCGTATTTTGCGGCTCTCAGTCTAGCGAGGCCACGTCCGCGAGCGCAAAATGCAGCTCACGGTAGGGAAAGTGTTAAGAGGAGTAAAAGCAAAGTTCCTCCCTTCTGAAGGATCAGGAATGCGTGAACCTCAAAAACTTCTTTACTTGAAAGAAGGGTACAAAAGGTTTATGTTGCACAACGCCAAAATCCAATTGAAAGAAATAACAGAAAAGAAGAGGAAACAGAATTAAGATTTACTTCACTGATACTGACTATGATCATTAAGATACTTTTTAAATTCCATAATCGATCCTAACAAGCTATTCTACAAAACATAAGGAGTTGATATGATCCAGTGAAAAATATTACAATTACAGCCCCCCCCCAAAAAAAACAACACACACACACTCTCAGTTAAAATGATTATTCATTTTAAGGTTTAGCTTGCTGTGTTTTTGCCACCTCACTGAGCAAAATCTTTCATCTGCTGTGAAGAAAGTTGTATTTTTGACAAGGGTGTATCTAAGTTTTCACACCTCTATATTAATATCATGGAGAATATTATAATTATACCAGAAACATCGCATATGAACAAAATCTACCCCAAAAAGACAGGCTGTCTGGGTTTTGGTTCGAAAGTGGCACCCTTCCCATGGAACCTGAAAAACGTAAATTTGTGGTCATTGAACCTGGGATTATAGGAAAGTGTGTCACTTCTTTGGGAAAATGGCGTCAGAGTAAGACAAAGAGGATGACTTTGAGCTTCTTCCCTACAAGAAAATCTAATATGAAAGCAATTCTTTCATCTATACAACTGTGGAAGATTTGGCCCTTGTACAATGAGACCAGTTATTCCTCCTCCGATTTGAGACTCAACAAAGAGGTCAAAAAGCTCAGGATCCTATAAGTTTGGCGTTAAAATGGCATCCGTTAATATGTTTCTGTTCGCTTTGAAGTCTCTCCACTGCTTTTGAATTTCATCTTCAAAAGCTCGAAGAGCAACACAAGAAGCACTTTCGAAAAAAAAATTTCTGATCTACGGTTTTTAATCTGCATATCGTCGGCCTTGTGATAAAACCGACTAACCCCAGCGAGGTAAATTTTACAGGAGAAGGAAAAAACTGTTTTATTTCAAAACAAAGGCATCTAACGATAAATCAATGCTTTAAACACCTATAAAAACACTTTAGCGAAAATCTGTAGACTATTTTTTCCTTTAAAAATTGCTTTTAATGAAACTGTGTGGGTTATCAGATGGTGATACAATATAGAAGATTTACTCCAATTATATTAGTTTGGGGGTTCTAAACGTGATTATGCAATATCGAAGATGCCATATGAAATCCACAATTTTCCAGCTTTGAGAGGTCATATCTAAAAAAGTACAACAGCATCATTCAAACTTCCCTGGTAGGTTGCCTCAAGTAATGCAAAGAAATACTGAAAGTTATGTATGTGTACCTAATACAGAAGTGAAAATATGAGACATATACTGAAGTCAGGGGAGCGCTTTTTAAAATCTTTTTTTACGTTTCGAAGGGGACAAAAAAAGCGCTGAAATGACTAAAAATCGTCTCTCAGTGCTACATTTTCTTTCTTATGTGCTAACAGGAAGTCTTTTCTATTATTTTGGGAACGTGGATCAGCCAAGAATTTCGTGTCTTCTCATTACTGGATTGGAATAGATAGGGAGCCACTCGAGTCGTATTTTGCGGCTCTCAGTCTAGCGAGGCCACGTCCGCGAGCGCAAAATGCAGCTCACGGTAGGGAAAGTGTTACGAGGAGTAAAAGCAAAGTTCCTCCCTTCTGAAGGATCAGGAATGCGTGAACCTCAAAAACTTCTTTACTTGAAAGAAGGGTACAAAAGGTTTATGTTGCACAACGCCAAAATCCAATTGAAAGAAATAACAGAAAAGAAGAGGAAACAGAATTAAGATTTACTTCACTGATACTGACTATGATCATTAAGATACTTTTTAAATTCCATAATCGATCCTAACAAGCTATTCTACAAAACATAAGGAGTTGATATGATCCAGTGAAAAATATTACAATTACAGCCCCCCCCAAAAAAAAACAACACACACACACTCTCAGTTAAAATGATTATTGTGAAAAAAAAGACTTTCTTTCTCATCAAATAATGGGTAAAGTTACGGAAAAAAATTATGAAAATATAACTCACCAGTCATGATGACAAAATATCCAACCAAAGGTGACAAACATCCACTTTTTTAAAAAAAAGGTTAAGCATTTATTACTCCCAAAACTTCCAAAACTCTCAAAACTTGAACCAGATGAAAGTTCACAATGCTTATAACTCTATCTGAAGACAAAAAAGGAATACCTCGCGTGAAGTTATATGAAAAGGTTAAGCAGTTTCCACATTAACTTCTTTGAACTTTCCTCTTCACATAATTCTGACACCTCTTCAAAGCAAAAATTCAACCAAATCCAACCTGTAGAGTTTCAGCCGGATCAAAGGCCGCAGAATTGTAGATAAAAACACATGACCCATGAATCCAAGCAGCAAATAAAGAAGACCATGCACACTTGGCCCAGCCTGTGTCGGACAGGTTCCACACCACTGACCGAGAAGTGCTTTGCAAAAAGTATCTGAAAGAGAGCAATAACATAACACACAATTACATGGAAGTTAAAAATAAATGAAGAAACTGGATGTCACAATAGTGTTGGGACTAGATGGGAGATAGATTTGAAAGCAAGTACTACCATAAATACCCATTTTAAGTCCCAAAAACCTGCTTCTTTCCAAAGTTATATAAGCACGATTACACTCAAAACAATTCTTTTTCATTGCTTTTTCCTTTATGTTCTTCATTTCAAAAGCAAAACAAATACAAATCGAGTTTAACACTTTACAGTCAAACAGCCAGCAGAACAAAATTCCCCATCTGGTCATCCAGCCAGAGTGACTGCAACGGAATTCTTGGGCCTGTCACAGAACTGCGTCAGGTGACCAGAATTGGTAATTTTCAGAGTCCCATTATTGCGGCAATTGACCGCAAAGTGTTAATATATTTGCCATGCTTTGATCAAAAAGCATAACTCTACTTTGACTCCTTACGAGAAAATTGACATCAAGTGGACGAGTGTAGTCATTAAAATGAAAGCTTATTTTTTTAAAACTCTTTTTATCTCATCAACATCTTTCAGTTTAAGTTGGGCAGTACTAATACATGTATAAAAATAACAGTACCTCACAGTTTAGAAAAAGTGGACAAAAAGGATGTCACAAAATCCCTGCAGAAGTAGATATCTAGTTGTAATTTTATTTGTCACAGATAGTCTGAACAATCCCCTTTTTTTAAATCTTTGTATAATCTATTTTTCACTTGGGGGAAAATGTTATTAAAGTAAAATGGAAGACTTTCATCACTGAAGTCCATTAAAAGAAAGGGCTAGAAGAATTCTGTACTTCAAAGCGTTAATATTCCACAAAGTCTAACTTTGACCTCTCGTGCATGTGCTTGAATTGCCTTTTCCCGACAACATTAAGCAGATCCATGAAAGATCAAAAGGCAGTTTTACAATATAAAAATTCAAGTTTGAAAATAGCACACCATCTCTTTCACACTAATAATACCATACAGAATGTTACATGAACCTCCTACCTGGCAGTCAGTGTATGGCCCAGGCCATAGCTGGCATGAGAAAGTTCCGCCATCTTAGGTGCACCGGTTGTTCCACTTGTGAAGAACAAAGTCATTGGATCCGTCGCTTTGGTCTTAGCGGTCTGCGGCACAGAAAATGCAGATATACTGACAAACTTTACCCCTGTATGTTATATTAACCCTATCCATACGCCCTGGTGTTATTTTGTACCCCGGGGTTGTATTCTTCACATTTTACAATACTTCTAAAGCGAAGATCTCTTTGAAACTTTCAGCATTTCTCAAAAAATCATTTTGACAGACTGCTATGTAAAGCATAAGGATCGGATAAACAAGTAAAATTCCTCTTGCAAGTTTTTGATCTTGGAAAGCCATTCATTAAAAAAACATATATTCTTCAACTCAACTTACCTGGAAATCTGCAGAAGCTTTCTCCACCAGAGAATGGTAATTGACCCATCCTGGCCTAAAAGAGGAAATTGTATTTATAATGTTTATCTCCATTTTACAACTTTTCTCATGTTTGTGATAGGTGAATAGGATTCAGATATAAAAATTGCTGATAGAATGATGCAGAGAATGGAGCCAAAATGCTATCGGAAAGGAAGAAAAGCAAGGAGGAAGTACATGGATGAACTGTACAAAGACATACAGTTGAAGGGTATGAGGGAAAACAGCAGGAGAAACAGCAGCGGTAGCAGAAACAGAGGGCGAAGCAGAGGGGAAGAAGAAAAGAAAAAGAATAAAAAGAAGATATAATGAGCATATTTCAAGTAACGTCTTCTGTGAGATCTTTTATCAATGCTCACTTTCTGTTTGAGCATATACAAATTTTAGTAAAACGTTTCTGCCGACATCACTGTCTTGCAAATGATAGAAAAGGATCATTTTTCAAGAGGTATTAATTCAAACTGTCCAAAAAATGTCATGGGATTACTGACCTTTACTTTTCTTGTTCAGGCCTCTGTTACCTTATGGCATAAAAACAGAGAAGCAAAAGTCTTTCCCTTGTTTGTAGCATCACCTGTTGCATGGTTACATAGTTTTTGTCTAATGTTTCTCAGAGCCTCTCCTCAATCTTTTCCTGGGCCAGCTTCTTCCTCTGTATCCATCTGATCTCTGGTTGTATGCTCTCACAGTTAATTGTCCATGTTTGGCCTTGGTAGTACAGTGTTGGTGTGAAGTGAGTTTTGTTTCCATTGCAACGTTGGGATGTGAAAGTAATGGTGCTAGTTGGCCTTTTTCTTATTCTTGTTTCTATTTCTCTGTCTATCAATCCGTCTTCGCTACGTCTTCGCTACAGTCTGGAGGTAATCTTGACAGATTTCATAACCATTTTATTCATTGTTTATCTATGTACTCAAAGCAGAGAGTTGAGCCATCTTGTTCTTTAACAATCTCATTTCTTGCCCGGTTTCTTCGTACAATGTTCTAAGTCTTACATAAGCATTAATAATAATAATAATAAATAGCATTTATACTGCGCATTTCCATTTCCTAAAAGATGCTCAATGCGCATTACAATGAAAAAGACATCACATCTTAAAAATTAATCGACACAAATGTGTACGTAAAACAAAGTATTATACATATAATATAAATGCATATGTGTAAAATTTTATACCAGAAAAACAGTCTCGCAGTGAGGTTGAAAATGTGTTCACTAAAAATATACAATGCAATATAAATTCACGAACAGTCAAAATACAGTTGAAACGTGAGTAACTAGAAACATTCATTAAAACATTAATTCTATACAGATAGAAAAACATTTCCTCTCTCTCTCTCTCTCTCTCTCTCTCTCTCTCTCTCTCTCTCTCTCTCTCCCTCTCCCTCTATCTCTCTCTCTCTTTCTCTCTCCCTCTCTCGCTATCTCTCTCTTTTCTCTCTCTTTTCTCTCTCTATCTCTCTCTTTTTCTCTCTCTATCTCTCTCTTTTTCTCTCTCTCATTCTCACTCGCTATTTCTTCAGTCTCACAGTCTGGCATACACATGCATATATATCACAGTACATCATTTTGACAGGTATGCTTTTGTGAATAAAAAATGCTTCAGCTGATTTTTGAAAATGGAAATTGTTGGGGCATTTCACTTGACAGGTGTTTACTTTACTTTGGTGACTCTTGTTTATTGTCAATGTTTGGCCTTGGTAGCACAGTGTTGGTATGAAGTAGGTTTTGTTTCCATTGCAATGTTGGGATGTGAAAGTAATGGTGCTAGTCGGCCTTTTTTATTCTTGTTTCTATTTCTCTGTCCATCAATCCGTCTTGGCAAAATACACTTCCCACATACTTGAACTCTTCTACTGTTTGAACTTGCTGTTGTCGACTGTGATATTTAGGGGTCCTGGTGCTTCGCTGATTTTCAGTGCCTCAGCTTTGCTCGTGTTGATCTTCTTTGCTGTGATCTTTTCAGCTTTTGTTCAGTTTGTTTACTTGTTCTTGGAGGATTTTCTCGTTGTTACTTAGTATGCTCTGATCATCAGAAAAAAGAAGCTTGTTTATTGTGTTGTCCTCTGGTTTAGCCTCTGCTGTCATTTCATCCTTGTATGTTATAAATAGTAAATGGGACAATAAACATACTCCTAATCTTACTTGGAACCGTAGTGTTTTTCCATTTTGTGTCCTTAGTGATGTCTAGCAGTTTCGAATAATACCAAGATGCTGTCCAGTCGTTGTCCTCTGATTCTTCCAACAGTGCCCATAATCATGGGATTAAATCTAAAAAATCTTTACAAATTTGTTATAAGGAGAAGCAAATCCTTCTTCAGTGACAAATACTGTCATTTTCAGAAACCTTTTCCATATATGCATTAAGGCAAAACTTTATACCATCATCCCTTTAAAGTGAGCAAATTTTGGGATTAAAATTATACTTCTAAACATTATCTGTCACAAAAATTATGAATGTACTTATAATGACTGAGTGACAACCAGGAAAAAAGCAGACTTAGTTTACTTTACTTTACTTTTCCGATCCACGGCCATTTGGGTTCTAGCCCTTCGGTCTGTCGATATGGCAAAGAATTGACAGCTTTTACTAGTTGGCCTTTTTTTTATTCTTGTTTCTATTTCTCTGTCTATCAATCCGTCTTCGCTACGTCTTCGCTACAGTCTGGAGGTAATCTTGACAGATTTCATAACCATTTTATTCATTGTTTATCTATGTACTCAAAGCAGAGAGTTGAGCCATCTTGTTCTTTAACAATCTCATTTCTTGCCCGGTTTCTTCGTACAATGTTCTAAGTCTTACATAAGCATTAATAATAATAATAATAAATAGCATTTATACTGCGCATTTCCATTTCCTAAAAGATGCTCAATGCGCATTACAATGAAAAAGACATCACATCTTAAAAATTAATCGACACAAATGTGTACGTAAAACAAAGTATTATACATATAATATAAATGCATATGTGTAAAATTTTATACCAGAAAAACAGTCTCGCAGTGAGGTTGAAAATGTGTTCACTAAAAATATACAATGCAATATAAATTCACGAACAGTCAAAATACAGTTGAAACGTGAGTAACTAGAAACATTCATTAAAACATTAATTCTATACAGATAGAAAAACATTTCCTCTCTCTCTCTCTCTCTCTCTCTCTCTCTCTCTCTCTCTCTCTCTCTCTCTCTCTCTCTCTCTCTCTCCCTCTCCCTCTATCTCTCTCTCTCTTTCTCTCTCCCTCTCTCGCTATCTCTCTCTTTTCTCTCTCTTTTCTCTCTCTATCTCTCTCTTTTTCTCTCTCTATCTCTCTCTTTTTCTCTCTCTCATTCTCACTCGCTATTTCTTCAGTCTCACAGTCTGGCATACACATGCATATATATCACAGTACATCATTATGACAGGTATGCTTTTGTGAATAAAAAATGCTTCAGCTGATTTTTGAAAATGGAAATTGTTGGGGCATTTCACTTGACAGGTGTTTACTTTACTTTGGTGACTCTTGTTTATTGTCAATGTTTGGCCTTGGTAGCACAGTGTTGGTATGAAGTAGGTTTTGTTTCCATTGCAATGTTGGGATGTGAAAGTAATGGTGCTAGTCGGCCTTTTTTATTCTTGTTTCTATTTCTCTGTCCATCAATCCGTCTTGGCAAAATACACTTCCCACATACTTGAACTCTTCTACTGTTTGAACTTGCTGTTGTCGACTGTGATATTTAGGGGTCCTGGTGCTTCGCTGATTTTCAGTGCCTCAGCTTTGCTCGTGTTGATCTTCTTTGCTGTGATCTTTTCAGCTTTTGTTCAGTTTGTTTACTTGTTCTTGGAGGATTTTCTCGTTGTTACTTAGTATGCTCTGATCATCAGAAAAAAGAAGCTTGTTTATTGTGTTGTCCTCTGGTTTAGCCTCTGCTGTCATTTCATCCTTGTATGTTATAAATAGTAAACGGGACAATAAACATACTCCTAATCTTACTTGGAACCGTAGTGTTTTTCCATTTTGTGTCCTTAGTGATGTCTAGCAGTTTCGAATAATACCAAGATGCTGTCCAGTCGTTGTCCTCTGATTCTTCCAACAGTGCCCATAATCATGGGATTAAATCTAAAAAATCTTTACAAATTTGTTATAAGGAGAAGCAAATCCTTCTTCAGTGACAAATACTGTCATTTTCAGAAACCTTTTCCATATATGCATTAAGGCAAAACTTTATACCATCATCCCTTTAAAGTGAGCAAATTTTGGGATTAAAATTATACTTCTAAACATTATCTGTCACAAAAATTATGAATGTACTTATAATGACTGAGTGACAACCAGGAAAAAAGCAGACTTAGTTTACTTTACTTTACTTTTCCGATCCACGGCCATTTGGGTTCTAGCCCTTCGGTCTGTCGATATGGCAAAGAATTGACAGCTTTTAATCAGCTGTGCTTTGTCGCTGTATAGAGTGTTTCTGATGTCTGGGGAGGCAGGTAGGTAGGTGCTACGCAGGTCACAAAGTGCTGGGCAGTTAAAGAGGTGGTGTGGTACTGTTTCATCCTGGCAGTCGCACAACGGGCAGTCGGGTGGGGTATCCTTGCGGATCCTATTAAGGTAGGAGTTTAGTGGTATGTGTTGTGTTCGCAGGGAAAAAAGCAGACCAATCAATATATAAATACCTTGTCTCAGACTGTTCACCAACAAGAATTTTGGTCAGAGGTCGTTCAATATCAGACGCTCCCTTAAGAAGAAGAAAATAATACACAAAAAATATCAGAACATAGTGTAGCCTGTGACCCAAAACTTTCAATTAAGAATGAGCACAGACACAGTCATATTAATTATTTTTCACAGACAGAAAAAGAAAGTTTAAGTGAAATTGTGCCGGAAAAAAGACCTCTAATAAATCCACACAGAATAACATTATGTTGACCACTTCTGAATATGAACATGATTTTCCCCTTTTTCTGTTTTGGAGTTGACAGGTGTTTCTGGCAAGTAACAAAAGACTGACCTAACAAAAACCTTATAAGGAAGCACTGATGCATACAAAACGCAGTCAGTATTACACTTATTCTGCATGGTGATGAGCCACTATGCTCCTGAACTGAAACTTGGTGCAAATTATAGGGGGACTGCATTGATTAAAAAAATATGATTATTGATGTCTTACGCCCCCATCAACATGATTTATATATTTTAAGAAGGCAGGTTTTGACCCTGCCTGTCAGGCCAACCCAAGCTGAGAAGGATACAACTTCGCAGCAGAAAGACCAAGATACTCAATAAAAAGTCTCCCCACACTGGAATCGTCGAACTCGGGTCTTCTTATTTTCAATGGCAAAACAACTAACAGTGACACCAGACGCCAGTCTGCATTTATAGGACATAATCCAGCCTCTCATGACCAAAGAATAATGATCACTGCAGGACACCAGGTCAGTTCTTACTTTACCAGGCACAGGTTTGGATCCCCATGGACAAAGAGCAGTGCTACGTTTAGTGGTCAGTTGTATATAATTAGACATGGTTTATAAATATGACTGTCTCTTAAAGGAAAAGATTTCTCTGTTGGTAAAGAATATCGCCGAGTGTGAATCTGCAATTAGGTTTACCAAATACATCTTATAGAAGCAGTATGCAGTATACAACAAATGGCGTTCGTCATCATGGTCCTCGCGCTTCACAAGGCATGATGAACACCTTATGTCAAAGCAGCATCTTGGCTCCTTCGCCATATAAGAAAAAATGACAATGGAAAACATCATTTAGACCATGAAAGGGTTAAGGGGGTAAGGAGCAGTTACAATGGGACCACCACCACCACCACCACCACCCCCCGCCAAGGACCAACAGACTTAATTTGTCATGTACACAAGAAGGGAAACATGATGTATTTAAAAGTACCTGAGAGACAAAACTGAGTATTTTCCCATTTGACACCGATAGAAACATTCCCTAAACAGCAGAAAAATCGCATATCTGTCTAGTCTAGTCATGAGGAATTTTGACACTGTACCAAGCAATCTGAGGTGGTTTATGCATTTCAACATTGGTGTGGGGAAGAGTAAGTGACGACAGTAGGGCCACTGGGTTGTAACTTCCAGCAACTCAGCATGACACCTGCCAAAATTTCCCTATGAACAGATAAGGATATCAGGAACACTGGAAAGAACAAAAAGTTATTGAAAAAGCCAGTTATTTTCTTCCATTGCATCTTAGCCCTTTTCCCTGTCTCAGCTGACCTGGTCTTTTAGCTTGTTTTTTTTAGCTAAAGCAAGTTTCACAGCACTTGCAACACAAATAGGTCATAAAAGTGTTGGAGATAAGAGGTGTTACAAGAGAGTAACATACAAAGAAAAGAAGGAGGATAGATAAGGACAATAGGCATTTGATAGAAAAGAAGGAACAAAACACATCAAGCACCAGCCAACCAACCACTGGCTTGGCCTGATCTTACTTACCTCATCCACGTAATGACTGAGCTCAGGACTGGTGATGATGGCCTGGGCCCCAGAAAGTTTTAGTCTGTGCCTGATATCTTTGCTTCGTAACAAGGTAGTCCCTGGACTCAAAATTATGTCTGTAAAATGTTTTAAAACATTTTTAATAAATAAAACAAAATGCCACGTTTATGGATCCCCCTGGACAAATTCAGCTTAGAGTGGCAAATACAATAGATACATACATGCAATTATTCATGAACATCACAAAATGCACAGTGTCACTCCAATACATGTACAGACTATCCTATAAAGGCATCATAGCTGGAAACCAATGTGCAGTATCACTTATTTGAGTCACAATTATTGTGTCTTGCTCAAGGACACACTCTGACGACAACCTCCAAACATAATAAATATATTCTTGCACGCATTATAACTGCCAGTTTTTTTCGCTTCTTCTGTCTTCTTTATAAATTTGAAAAAGTTACAAGTTTATCTCCCCTTTCAATACTGTAAGGTTATCTAACAGGCGGTACCTCCAAACTAAAAGTCCATCTTTGATAAGACTAAATGGAAAGGGTGGAGAGCCTCAAAAACTCCCCAAAACAATCCATGTTCAGAACGCCCCATTGAGGATTGAAACTAGAGCCATCCACTCAGTAGTCCAGCATGATACCAACTGAGCCAATGGCACACCCATTCTGCTTTTGAAAGGACCCATTTGTGTTTTGTAGACCATTTATGCACAAACAAAAACAAACTGTCTACTTTCAAAACGAAAACCTAGGAAGTCTCAGGTGGGAGCACGACTGCTTTCATGCACAAGTAATACTGACATCAAACTTGTGTTAAACCGTAAGAATGATGCAAGGAAATGAAAAAACGACCGTCAGGTCAAATTCATTGACCAGTCAGTTAGTGCAGCAGACCATGAAATATTCTTGACATCTGCTACACTGGGCTATCCCCAAAATTAAACTACACACCTCACCCTCACCCAGCACATATGGCACCATGGCAATACCAACTCATCAGTTGTTACCAGGTAAGTCAGCTTTGCTGGACCTCTAATGAGGTTACTTTTTCCAAAGGTGCTGCATTGAAAATTATACAAATTACTGAGCAATGCAAATACTGATCCTGTTCATGAATATTCCAATCCATACACTTTATCAAGTAGTGGTGGGAAGAGTGCTGCAAAATTGGGATTTTAGGGACCAGTATTTTAAAGACAACTTGAAAATGGTTTATTGTAAACATCCAAATTTCACGAACCTACATTTTTTTTCTCTATACAGGAATCTATACAAAATGTCAAAAGGCTTTTTTTTCAAGAGTCACAAAATTTTAGCAAGTAACTGCCAACATTCTAAATTTGAGAAGCGCTTAGCAAGTGAGAGGTAAAACAGCTGACTGCTCACATTACAGCTTCAATGCACTCAAATGACATGACTTTCATATTTGAGTAATTAGCCTGTACAAACACCATCAGACTTTGTGGTGACAAAGTTTTAAATTTCATCAACTCATAAACAGCTGCTCATGGAACATTTAAATGGAATAACATTCAACAGAAATGGAAATCATTGGTTTTACATCAACTGGGATGTGACCCTGTCTACCAAGGGTAACACGAGATGACTGGGAAACTGTTCCAAAGCAGAAAGACAGAGATACTAGTTGATAAAATAAACTTTCCCATACCGGGTACAGGAAACAAATTGACATCTTTAGCATGCAACAGCTGAGAGCCTAACCCTTTCACTACAGATATGGGAAAAGTTACATTACATGCACCAGCTTGTTGACAAATGAACCATAACATCATACTTAATCCTCTCAAACCAAAGTGCAAATGAGGCTCTATAGAATGAGGTTCATGACAATTTTCAGTCGTCAGTTGCCTCGATTAATATGCATAGTATGCCTCTTTTTCACTACCATGGCAAACCAGGACCCCAGGTATCAGACAAGCTGAACAATGAAAAGTGAAATGTTTTAAGCTATTTTTATTCCTCCACTGTATCATTTTCACAACCTATGAGTTTAATAATACACTATATCATTTTCATGACATATATATTTAATCAAGACATATTAAGTTCATATTGAAACAGATCATGCCCAAATAGAATGCCTCACCTGTGATGGAAGAAAGAATTTTCTGTAGTTATTTTTAAAAAAAATTCTTTTTTTAACCCAAGCTCAATTTACTCCCTTCATTTATTTTCCTTTTTTTTCTTTGTAAGAAATTATATTTCCTGATTATATGCTCCTCTCTCGTAGGAGAAATGTCATCCCTGAAATCGAGGGGGCCCCGGGGGTTGAGTAGTTCAAGAAATCATTAACGAAAACATCTCAAGAAATGTTAAATGGCAGTAGTTATTAGATGACAGGTGATTGAAATGAGACCTTGCATAAAATATGTTGATTCTTGCTCTAAAAGAGGGGGCTCCACTGCAGTGACCAGAAAGGCTGTATTACTATTAGAATAAAACAAGTAAAACCCTATATGAACTGACACTGCAAAAACTAACATTTCAGGAAAAATCATAGCACATCAAAGTCTTACCCTCAACTTCTCCTCTGAAAAAATATATCAAGCACAATTCTGCATGGTACAAAGCTTAGAACCTTCTAGGGATTAGGCACTTTATAAATTCCCATTATCATTATTATTAAGCAGTTTTTAAAAATCCTTGCTGTGGTATGAAAATTCCTCACTTGAAGTTGAACTAAACCCTTGATTCTCTTTATCAGAGCATTCTGCCATTTCAGCATTTACAACAGGTAGAAAGAATAAATGCAAGACATCACGGTCAAAGCACAAACCCATTTTTATAAAATTCTGTAACAATGCAGAAAATTCCTAAACCTAACTGTTGTGGACAAAAAAAGCAAAAACCACATTTATTGAGTCTTATCTTACCAGCACGAATGCAAGCTAAGTTCAGCAGCCACCATTCTGGTATTTTGGGTAGAATAACTATAACTTTGTCTCCCCGCTGAAGACCACATCCACCAGTCAAAGCGTTAGCTACTCTGAAATACACAATAACAGATTTTTCACCCAATAGTGGCTTGAAAGCATCAGAACCAAAAATAGTTTTAGAGACAGTTCATTAGATTTATATGAAAATCATTTACCATGTGTCTCCGAATGTAAACTATTGCATCTTTATCAGCCTGAGACACGCCACTTGGCAAAACAGGACCAGCTCATGGGCCGCTGCCAACCATCACTTGGAGAAAACAGGTTACATGGCAAAATTTATGTTTGACAAGAATGGCTTTGGTTGTTTGTGATTGATAATGTTCAGCATGTAACAGGCTGCCCTGAGGATGGATATCTCAAATTCTGTCTATCAAAAGAGATACGAGATAAATGATCGCTGAAATCTTAACATGCATTGCCCAGAGAGAGCAACTACTAAACAAGGCGAGAAATGTTATTTATAAGATAAAGCAATTTTAAATTCAATTGGTCCGGAGAAGGGGGGGGGGAGGATTTATCAAAGCTGACAAAAAGTGAAGTAGCACATGTACCGACCATAAATTTTTGCTGTTGATTTTATTTTTTGACAAAGATATCAGTTTCACTTCTCCTTTGACAACTGAAAACACAAATACTAACTCTTAATACAATATACAGAAGGTTATTCCCCCTCTGTATCCAAATTCACAAACATCACGATAACTCTGCTCCTTTTATAACCTAAAAATAATTATCAAACTTGATAAAAATAAAAGGTCCGAGCGGTTACCATACAATCTTATGATAAATAAAATCAATCTGCTGACGTTCGGTAAGTTTTTTTGTTATGACTGTGAACAACTGAGTGATGTTGAGAGCCAACTGAACCAACATGTCGTATACAAAAAGTTAATGAGCAATACAGTGAACAACCCTTATGGGGGATACGGGCTGAATGTCAAAGTGGATAATTTTTAATGAAATTTTCCAAAAACCCTTCCATTCGTTCCTGCCACAAAACAAATTTGTGTCTTGACACAGAAGAATCATATCCAGTGATTCAACCATTATTTTCATTCGTAACTTTAAATTAAAAACAGCTAGTGACTTACAGAAAAACAGAAGAGCCAGCTTTACTAATACACAACTGCAGTTTGTGGAGTTGAATAGAAGCACATTTGCCCTAAAAGCTATCATCTATTATTGGGACAAGCAAGATGACTGGAAAAAAATAAACAGATGGGCAAGAAGTATCACATATCAGTGACCCAAATAGAAATGTATGAGAGATGAAGATGCTGACCGTTTCGATTGTTGAGATAGTTGCTGAAATGACCACTTGATTTCTTTCTTTGACACGCTATCAACCCACCAGAATGCAGGTACATCAGATTCACGTTTGCCGCTCTAGAGGACGAAAGTTATATAAATTATTAAAAATGCAAAATAAAAATCACCAGAAGGCTAAAAGCAAATATCCAGTACATGTACACTTACTGTAGAAGTGTTCTTTCTTACCTTTCAAATAAAAGACAAAAATAATCTTTAAAAGATAGAATCTAATTCTACGAGCTGTATTAAAGGGTATTTTTGTCGATCACTAAACTACATAATGAAAATAACATTTGTACAAGAGAAAGAAAAACTGTCAAGTTTCACAAAGTACATTTCCAAATGCTTGGCTTAAACGACTACATAACAATATGTTCAACACAATGGGCAATTTTATTTGAGTCTTTTGTTCAACGGAAACTAACTAGTGACTTAAAAACCCTTGGCTTCAATTTTTTTTTTTTAATACCTGCTCAGCTGCTGCCCATCCATCTATGAAATCATGAGCAAAGTTGAAATATTCTGGGACATCAAGATGAAAGTTCTTCCTCTCGAGTTCATAGTTGTCAAAAGGGTAAGTTGTGCAAAGCTGAATCCATCGCTTGCCTTGCACTGACAATGGTGACAACTTGAGTGAAACGACATTTTTCTTCGACAGCACTTGACTCAGACGACAAGTGTTGAAGACTCTTGACAGTAAAACTCTCATGATTTCTGCACAAAAATATGTACACAACAAATGGTTAAATAAAATAAAAATTAGCAAAGTCTTCTGGACTAAAAACATTGGAATCAAGATTGAACTTGAACTCAAGACCTTGAGTTAATAGGAGTTTTAAAAAAAGGTTTTTATCGAATAACTCAGAAATTAGCCTGTGCTTGAAAGCAAGACTTGGCCAATGACCTGACATTATGGTACAATAGCATATGACAGATTCAACTAGCAACCTAAAAAAAAACAAATATGCATTTGATTTTGAATCCAATTTAGTCGAATTCAGTTAAGTAGTTCCAAAATGGTAGTTTCACTCTTCCATGGAGAAAAAAATCTGGCTGGCCCTAACCCAATCAAATGAATTTGATTAGCAATGTGCACTTAGTATAACAGAGATCCTGGAATCAATGCTCATGTGTTCACAATTTCACCAAAAGTAAACCCAACAGGGAAAGAAGAGCAAAATAGGTAATTGACATATGTTCTAGTACATTAAATACAAAACCATTATCAAACCTTATAAATAGGCCTATATATCTAGCCCTCAGATCAAAGGAAAAAACGAAGTTCAAAATATGTGATCTCATTAAGGAACTGCTTGAGAATGATGCATTGGTTCTGACTCACTCAAAGAAAACATTTCTTATATCAGAAGAACAGTATTTCCACTACCTGCAAAAGGTTTGGCCTGACAGTTAGTTATAGTCACAAAAGTTAGTTTTCTACCAAAGTGAATCTACAGAAAACTTGAAGAGTATTGACAACGAAAAGCTCAAAGCTGCAAAACACATCACATACTTGAACACTATTATCAACAACAAAAAATGTCTTTGATCAAGTCAAACATCAGAATTTCAGCACTTTAGTGTTTTCATAATATGAATCTTTATATCAGTCAAAATGAAAGTGTACCAAGCATGCATTCTGAACACATTGCTGTGCCTGAGTTAGAAATAGACAGCATATAGGGGAAGAGCAGGGAGGCCTCAGACATGGTGAGACTTCGGACACGTCAATTCTCGCTAAACTATTGACAGTGCACATTTTGTTACTGGATCACATAATGCTTCATTTTAAGGTTTAGCTTGCTGTGTTTTTGCCACCTCACTGAGCAAAATCTTTCATCTGCTGTGAAGAAAGTTGTATTTTTGACAAGGGTGTATCTAAGTTTTCACACCTCTATATTAATATCATGGAGAATATTATAATTATACCAGAAACATCGCATATGAACAAAATCTACCCCAAAAAGACAGGCTGTCTGGGTTTTGGTTCGAAAGTGGCACCCTTCCCATGGAACCTGAAGAACGTAAATTTGTGGTCATTGAACCTGGGATTATAGGAAAGTGTGTCACTTCTTTGGGAAAATGGCGTCAGAGTAAGACAAAGAGGATGACTTTGAGCTTCTTCCCTACAAGAAAATCTAATATGAAAGCAATTCTTTCATCTATACAACTGTGGAAGATTTGGCCCTTGTACAATGAGACCAGTTATTCCTCCTCCGATTTGAGACTCAACAAAGAGGTAAAAAAGCTCAGGATCCTATAAGTTTGGCGTTAAAATGGCATCCGTTAATATGTTTCTGTTCGCTTTGAAGTCTCTCCACTGCTTTTGAATTTCATCTTCAAAAGCTCGAAGAGCAACACAAGAAGCACTTTCGAAAAAAAAATTTCGGATCTACGGTTTTTAATCTGCATATCGTCGGCCTTGTGATAAAACCGACTAACCCCAGCGAGGTAAATTTTACAGGAGAAGGAAAAAACTGTTTTATTTCAAAACAAAGGCATCTAACGATAAATCAATGCTTTAAACACCTATAAAAACACTTTAGCGAAAATCTGTAGACTATTTTTTCCTTTAAAAATTGCTTTTAATGAAACTGTGTGGGTTAGACGGTTATGTCGCTCAAATTTTCCTGGATAAAACCGACCAACCCTCAATTTTGTGGGTTGACCGGTTTTATCAGGAAACCACTGCTGGCCTTGAGTTTGGTTGAGTGCAGCCAAGCCACACTTGATGGTAACGTATTTGATCACTTGCTTCAATCGTCAAGATCTTTTGTAGAAGAAGAAGAAGAAAAAGAAGGAGGAGGAGGAGGAGGAGGAGGAGGAGGAGGAGGAGAGGAGGAGGAGGAGGAGGAGGAGAGGAGGAGGAGGAGGAGGAGGAGGAGGAGGAGGAGGAGGAGGAGGAAGAAAAAGAAGGAAGAGGAGGAGGACTATATTATTGCTACCAACATACTATCATAGTATCAGCTGCTGCCATTTCAGTGTTACGGAGTCAATTCGGGCAAAAACAGCAGTCACAAAAATGAACCTTTAATAAAAGTAGAAGAAGCAGAACACAGCAATGGGTATATTAATTACATTTAAAGTAGAAGAACAGGAGGTTGGAAGGGTAAGGGAGAGCAGCTACAGCAACAACTACAAAAACAACAACTACAACAACAACAAAAACAACAGTAGTAGCAGCAGCAGCAGTAGGCCTTTAGAATTTATGACCGTGTCTGACACGGTACTATTGGCACTGGGTGGCCATTCAAAGGCCTGGAAAAAGGTAATACTAAGAAAGAAATGAAAGCAGAAAGCCACACAAAAGCTCCACTACCTCACCAATGGTTTGGGAGAAGTTGGTTACTTAATGATATGTCATTATTATACAAAAAATACTTTGTGAGTACCAAAGAATGCGCCAGCTTTCTCCAAGGTGCGTGGCTTGACAACTACTACTTTATTGAGTTCTCTCAACGAAAGAAGAGCATGTCTGTCTCACTCTGTGTCCTATGGCTACAACAAGGCAATACGACAAAAGTTACCATTGTTTTGCAAGACTCTACAATAATCAAATTTGGCTTGATCGCTTTCAAAACTTCTTACTGAGGCAAATATTCATTGTAATTGTGGTAGCATCGTGGTACGACAGCCTTCAACTCCAGTAGATGTTTATACTGGTTGGCAGTTATCTTCAATCTGTCTTTGCAGAGAGGTCCAGCAGTAACCGTCGTACACATGGTGTTCAGCTTTCTTGGTCCTTGCAGCGCCTGCCATCCATCATCAAAGTTCAGCTTGCACTGAATTTTATTTTAAAGACTGGAGTGTACTTTGATGCCTGCAAGTCAGTGGCAGTAGGATCGCCTGCCTTTCTCCTTGGACTGATTGTTTAGTGCTCTCCGACCTTTGCGAAATCTTTGAAAAAGCTGTGGTCCAGGTACATAACTTCCTAGGGCCTGGGGATGCGTCTGGCTTTGAGCATGATGTTCACGTAGTCCATTGGGATGTACATCAGGCCGTTTTTTAGCGATCGCTCAATAGTGCCACGGACTGAATCCACTTCCATTTGGGTATGGCCCTTGGGGAGAATTTCTGCTCAACTGTGATGTCAAGCTCTTCGGCCAGCGAGGCCATTGCACTCACCAGGGTGGCTTTCTGTTTTAGTAGTTGCGCCAATCACTGCAGATGATGAAGTGGTTGAAGTCAGTCACTTGCAATATCAGTTAGTGAGTGAGACATGATGAAAACTGTTGAAGCCCAGACCAACTTCACTTTCATACCAGACATATCATCTGGCGTCTCTGGTGGCAAGATCATAAGTCGTAACATTGTGTACAGCCAGTTTTGTTTTATATAAGGTGGAAGTCTTTAGTGATGGGGCCAGAAGGACGCACTGGATCTCCATACAAAGGACACACACAGCCTCCCTGTCCTTCTCCTTTTCTGGTCTAGCTGCAGCTTTCCTCATATTCATATTTGAGCTGTGTGTTCTGTTTCTGTGAGGTTTCCAGATTTGAACTTTGTACAAATGTCGCACTGGTCTTTCTTGGTTGAAAGTAAACCCAACTTGTTTTTCTTGAACTTTTGGCAGACCACTTGATAGCTCAATGTGGCTTTCACCCTCTCTGCAAAGTTCTCCTTGTATACTTGATGCAGATCTGACGTTGTCTGGATTGCCATCTGTAGACAGGAGGATATCTTCGAAAGTTTGTCAAAAAATTCCTCTTTATGGAACAACTTGTCATCCTTGGCTCTCTCATGGTGGGTGTGATGTGTTCAGGAAGGGGGGGGGGGGGGTGGACCTCTCGTTTTTTGTGGGGTTTTTTTGGAGAAGATACTTTAAATAAACCAGTGGGTCAGGCCTGCGGTGTTCTTAAAGATTGTTTTACAAACAGGTGTTCTTTGACCTTTGGCTCTTGTAAGTGGTATTGAAGGCTGTAATTTCTCCTTGGGTTTTCCCTTGCTGGGTAAAATCTCTTTTTGTCTATCATGTTTATAGTGGCATATACGTGGGCTCTCTTTTCTTTCCAAGAGAGTGACCAGTGATGTCATTGCATTTTGTACCAACCAGTTTACAACTGCAAAGGACGTCAAGTTCACATCCTGCTCGCTTCGTGCCTTGACATGGCTAGAGGCATCCCCAGTTCTTTCAACCTCTTCCTTTTGTTACCCTTCCTATCGTTTTCATGCTGTGTCCTTTTCGCAGAGATCAAAGGTAACATAACTGTTGTATTATCAGCTGATGTGACATTAGCCTGGTCACATTGATCACTTTCCACTGCGCTGAGGGTAAGAGGTGACGCAGCAAAAGTGGCATCATCTTATTGAATGTTATAGCGTTATGTAAGCTAAGGTTTGATATAAAAATAAAGCATTATGTTTTGACACTGAGAAAATAATCTACTCAAAACACAAACGAAATGAACTTTCAAAGAAAGTCGAACGATGTTTCAGAAGGTAATGACTGCAATAAACACAGCAAATGAAAAAAAAGAAAAAGCGCTTTAAAAAAAAAGATCGTTGGGGGCAGACGGTGTGCTGGACAGGTAGCATAATTTTATTATTTTTTTGAGTGAGTTAGTAAAGGAGGAAATGCTATCTACTTCGTCCACTCAATTGTGAAGGAAAAATGATTAGGAGAAGAGACAGTAGTCCGAAAAGGGGAAATGCCTTCACAATCGGTGAATTTCGAGTGCAAAGACAAAGAAAAACACGCAGACAGAAAACATAGTTTCATAGAAAACAAAATCCATAAAGATGCATTTCAAATACCGGAATTGTCACGAGATAAACAGTTCTGTGGGAACAGTGGGGAGTTTTAGTCATTAATTACATTATCAGCAGCATTAAAACGAAGAAAAATGAAGAAACATCCAGATCTATATAATTCCCCAATGAAACCAACAAGAAATATTACACAAATATTCCTTTTTGGAGAGCTCCCACGGTTATGTGAGCAAATTCTAAACTATTGCAGGTCTGAATCTGATATCAAACGTAGTCCAGAGAGGAGTCGAAGCCGGGGTTAGTCGGTAACGTAGCAAGTGGCCCCTCATTGTTAGCGCGATAAAAACAGCCAACCCTCATTCCGTCCCTCGCAGGTGGGATAGTCGGAATTATCGGGCTAAAATCTGATGGGTGCCGGGTTATATGGTTTTATTTCTAATGTTTTAAATACATTTCTAGACAAAATTCACATCTGTCTTTGAGTGAGCATATGAAATGGACAATTTACTATCGAGAGGGCCAATAAAAATTTTTTTAAATATTTTGTGGGTTAGTCGGTTTTATCACCAGGCCGACGATATATTTTGTTTCCCTTTTATCTGTTTTGATTTGGCCGATGTACACCTCCCGAAACACTACAACTGTCAGGTCATTTGAGAAGGTGGATCTCTGATTTTATGTCCCTCTCCATCAGGATGTGACAAGAAGCCATGAAAACCATTAAAAACCCTACAAACAGCCCATATTCAGGAACAGATATACCTAGATTCGAACCAAAAGGCATCGTTCAGAGAGAAACAGCAATAATTATAGCTTAGTAAATGGAGCACCTTCATTAATGCTGTGCTCTCACAAAATCCAGAAGTTGAAACACTAGGAAACTAACATGGAAACGAATACTTTTCATCTCTGACTATCACTGCAAAAACTAGCTTGTTATTTGGGACATCATTAAAATACTGAGTAGTTCTGTTTTACAATAAAAAGAAAAGATTCAGGTCAACATGTGCAGAGGTGTACAAAAACGGACTGATATGGTTTGATCACTGGGTTCTACTAATTCCCCTGAGTCTGAACACAATTTCATATTGCAAACAAAAGGTAAAAGTACAGATCATGCTGTGTCGAAGTTTTGCCTCTCAGAAATAATATTTGAGACATGAGACACACTGTCCGAGGTCACCCCTCTTCATTCGAAGTTTCCCTCACGTTCGTCTGATGTCTCTCGCAGAGTAGGGTGATTTCGGATACCTTCAGGGTACTCTAGAGGTAAAGCATGATGATACACGAAGCTGATAATCGCAAGTGCTGATCACAAATGGCTTATAATAAAGGTTCTTTTTCTTAAAAGCTTTTATAATGTGAAGCAAGCATTGGAGCCAAACGTAAAGGGTGTCTGAAGCCTCCCCGTTCTCCCCTAACTTTCACACCAGGTGAAAAAGCCCAGCAACTTTAAAAAGATACTCTGCAGAAAACTTCTTAAAATAAATGGCATGAGCCCGATAAGATTACCAACAGAGTACTGTGAAGAAATAAAGCTCCGACAGTATTTTTACACACTTCATGCAACCCAGATTCAGACAGCTTCTCTCCATCATGTAGGATGCAAGAATACAAAAAAAAAGGGTATACAAGGACCAACCAAGGAACCTCGGAACAACAAACAACAGCAGAAGACCACAGCCAATAAAGAGGTAAGCCACAGCAGGCGCGATCATATATACGACATAACATTATATAGGATGGCCAAAACAGTGCAAAATACTGTCATCTTTCTTAAAAGCAAAAGAACAATTTGCCTATCTACTTCTATTTCTACTTCTACAATACTGTCATAGGTTGCAAAGCTAAAGGATGCAACATCCTGGTAAAAGGTCACAAACAAGGTGATATTCATGGAATGGAGGAGGAGATGATCTAGATCTACATCTAGACTCTAGATTAAGGCTAGAGCATGGGAATCGGGAGATTAAATCATCAGTGGCCAAAACTCAAATTTTGTTTCACTGCACTGATCTGGAACAAGAGTCATCAGGATATGTCCTTTTTAGTCTGAAAAGAAAAAATGCTGTCTTCTAGGCCTATCTTGCTCTAATCATATCTAGAATCTAGATCTAGATATAGCCTAGATAGATCTGTACATCACTAAAGAACCCTCAATCAGCGGCCAATTAATCTGCTGGGCTTTTATTGATATTATATTTTACAACATGACGTACCTTCTCTTGCACTGTCTAAAAGGCAAGAGAATCCAGTAAATTTTAAGTGCCCAAGTCTCAAATTGAACTGTGGAGTGTCAAAAACTAAAAGCGACGAACAGTCGGGGAACTTGCTGAACTTGCCGTGTCAACAGAATTTATATTATTATTGCCCCATTGGGACTGACGGTTCGAGCTCGGTAGGAATCGCGAGCTGGAAAGACACGTTTCCATTTCGTTCCGTTTAACTGCCATTAGCATGTGTAATTTTAATTAGCATTCAATTTTCCGCTCTGCAACAGCTGCATGGTCTAGGGCCTAGATATATAGATCTAGATTCTAGACAGGTTGTGTTCTTGGAAAGCCTTAAAATTGTTTTTATACCAGATTCTAGGCTATCTCTGGGCAAGTTAGGCCTAGGATTTAGAGCAGAGATCTACAATGAGTTTGATCAAAATCACATAGATCTAGAAATCTACATGCATGTAGATATATCTAGTGAATCATGTAATCTACTAATGATGGGGGTAAGATTGAAGAATACCGGACCAGCGGACTGACTTTGCCTATGTCTCAACCTTAGGAATTCATAATTTTCCTGTTTTTAATATCTCTCAATGGAGAATCTCGGACCGGTAGCCTAGATCTATTCATTAAAATTTTGTCAGGGGGGAGACCCCCCTGAACCCCTACCCCACTTTCTCGCGCAATAATGTTCGAGTGGTCCGGTATTCTTCAATCTTCCCAGAAAATCTATTTATCTACGCTCTTTCAACTTTCAACTCAAGTTCACGCTTCAGCATCGAATCCAAGGGCCTAGGCCTATTTATGCGCTTCAATCAGAGACAGGATGGGCACGGTGACATAGTTTATTAGTCTAGGCCTAGACTGAGAGAACACACGAGGGCCAGTTCCTCAAACTCAAAGCGACGAATTACCAGATTAGATTTAAACTTTGCTTCATTGTAAATCTCCCGAACGATAGACTTTACGCTTGGCTTAGCCTAGCCTACAGGCCAGTTAAATTTAGTAGTGTCTGAAACTGTGATTACAAAAAGATGTTTTACTGACCTAACGTACTTGAAATACAGCGTGGCGTAGACTGTAAACCCTCTCTGGTTCTAGCATTCAGGCTAGGCCTGGCCTAGATATATCTAGTTACAGGACAGTCGTAATGTGTGTCCTCGTGTGACTCGTCTTGTCAACTGTTTAGTTGACTAGACTGGAAAGCTAGGCCAATTGCGGGCAGGTGCTCGGCTGCTTGGTGCCGTCGCTTGAGTGATGAGTGAAAGAATAGCCTAGATCTGAGTAGTAAGAAGATCTGGTAGTTCCCACCCCCCTTATTTGAGCCTGACCTACATCTAGATCTAGATTTATACGTTTGATTCGCGGTGAGCTAAGATCAAACCTAACAACAGCAAAACATTAAATTGTGGTAAAATTCAGGGGGGCATGCCCCCCTGAAACCCCCCTTCCTATTTTGGTTAGGTCAGGGGGTCAAGAAACCCCCCTACTCTTGGGGCCAAAACCCGTGAATAACAATTGCGGGGTGGGAACTACCGAAAAAGCGCCGAAGACCTCTAGGCCTACAGCCTAAAGAAAGTGGAGTTTAGTGGTGAGGCCAAAGAGGTTGTAAATAGAACTAGAGGTCTTAGCTGTGACGTCACGAGTATCAAGCTTGAGGGGCGCGCCGCCATTCCGGGGAGGAATAAAAAGCCTGTCGGTGAAAAGCAACACTTTTCAATCACGGATAAATGATACTCTGTGAAGTCTTTTCATGTCGATTTCTTTTTCATGTGATTTGCCTATCGCTAAAATATACTGTCATTGGGATTTTTGTGATTTTTTAAATTTTGGAATGAGCCAAATAATCTCCAAATAATGTAAATGGGACCTTTTACACGGTGAGACCATAATATGGGTGAGTAAAATTCAGAAAACATGAATGAAATGGACTTGATAATCAACAGTTAAATTTAAAAAAACATAATTTTAATTAAATCTTTTTTTGTGCGTCGCTCAAACAGTATGTCTAGATTTAGCACCACTGGCCACAATAATAAAGGCCCTCGTATCTGCCCCCGGGAACCAATTATGCGACTGAGAAGCTGCTATATGCTTCAGCTGCAACTCTAGCACACCTACAAGGCTGGTTGAACGGAAATGAACCACTGTCGATGTTGTTGAGATGAGTGAATATGAAGTAGCCAACCAGATGTAACTACCCACCCAAAAAAATTCTGTCTCATTTGCAGAACCGATGCCAAACTGTTATCAAACAGCTTGTGCAGCAGCAGTGGTTCATGGTAGATGGGGTGTTGTGTAGCCAAACACCATTACCAATCAACGCCAATTTTAGAAAATATTGTGAACGTTTTAGACACTAGATAAATTGGCTATTTATCTAAGTGTTGCATTTTAAAATGTTGTCAGCATATAATTATTTGTACCCGATATCAAACTACACTCTTTGGGTATGCGCACAGGATCTATACAATGCGTGATTTACAGTATCCCAGCCTACAATTAATTGCTCATTTTGAGACAATAACGAATTGATATATTAGATAATTGACCAAGTCTTAACCCCCTTTCATAGTCTATGAAAACCTAGGCTTTGCATCAGTAGAAAAAGATTGTAGACAACATGACATAAAAGCAATCCAGTTTGTAATTATGAAATGTTCCTTTTTCTTAACAAACTCAATTACTCACTATGTCTCCATCCATCTTAATCCTCTCAAAAATGGCGACAAAGCGAAGTGAGAGGGCCCACTCAACCATAGTGAGTTTACGCGAGTGACGTCCCAGCTGCGACCTCTAGTACTATTATTTACCTCTTTGGAAGCATTAAGGGAGATAAATCGTTGACTTTTTTTTTCTTTGCTTTTTTTTTTTAGGTTTAACAGAGTTGCTGGTGCTGAACCGCACCCGAGAACAGGATAGTTTTATTCCAGAGAGAGACGTAGGCTATGTCATACTCATACCATAGACACAATCGAATGAGCAATCTTGGGGTAACATTCGATAAAAGAAACTAGAATTAATTTGGTAAAATTGACTAAAACCTCATCATCATCATCATTGCCTTTCTCACCCTGCACCAGGGTATAGGCCACGGACAAACACCCCCCACTTTTCTCTATCCTG